GGAGCGTTGCCAGTTGGCAAGAAAGGTTGCCCCCTATACCCAAAACCCTATACTCCTAAACCCTCAACCCCTAAACCCCTTGCAAGAGTTGAAAACTCTCATGTCCATGCAGCTGTGCACAGAAGTGATGTCTGGGCACTGCGCAGGCATTCCGGCCCTGAGGTGCCATAGATAGACCTGTCCCTTCTCACCCGAGCCCGATTCAGGAGCATCGAGCCAGTGGAAAAGAAGGGCGAGCACTACTTTGGACATCGAGCTGCCAGGCAGGACGGGACGTCTTGCATGGTAGCGGAGCCTCGTCACGGGTGACGCGATCACCGTGGCGGGGCTCCAGGGACGAGCCCAATCAAGACATCGACTTGTGTGAATCCACGAGTCCAGGAAGGAGGCGATCCCTTCCTGCTTGGCAGCGCGATGGTGGTTGGCAGAAGCCGTGAAGGCATACCAACCTGGAACTGTGATCCAGCTACATGGGCAGAATATCGAAGGGCCGCCCTTCTCTTTGTGGAGACAACCAAATGGTCCAATAGATACCTTTGCGGGCCGCGTTTGGCCTCAGAACTCACTGGACCAGCGAAGGCCTCCATTGTATCCAAGAAGTCCACGTGGTTGTCTCACGAGAATGGCGTGAGCAGACTGCTCAAGCACCTGGAACAGGCCATCTCACAGCCAGTTCTTCCCGAGGTGGGAAATGCCCTGAGAACATACTTCAAAAGCTTACGCAGGAAACAGGGGGAGTCAATGACAAGTTTCTGTGTGAGGCACCGCGAGGAGTATGAGAAGGCATGCCGGGCACTGACTCGCATGATGGGGAGTCAAAAGTCCGACCTCGGCAAGAGCAAGGCTGGGAGGTTGTCTTCCAGGCGCAGTAGCTGGCAAGAGTACTCCAGCAACAACACCTCAGGGCCGGAGCGCCAACAGCGTGTCGGCAATCACAGCGCCACCGGAAGTGAGGATCCGGCGCCGGAAGAGCCTGCGACATCAGCCACTGCCGCCTTGGAGGCGGCCGTGGAGGATGAACCAGAGGATCCCTGGCTAGCTTGGTACCGTGAGCACGCTACCGAGGATGGCCAGAGCCAGTCAGGATACAGCAGTTGGTATCAGTGGAACTGGCACCAAGGATGGCAGGACCACCACTGGCAATCCCCAGAGACCGACTGATGAGCAGCTGGTGGAGGTGTTGCCGGATGTCATCAAAGGTTGGCTTCTTCTGGAGAAAGCAGGCCTGGACACCCTTGAGAAGAGCGTGATCCAATCGGATATCAAGTCCCAGTTCACTTTGCTCAACGTGGAGAACTCGTTGAGGGCACACTGGACGGACGACCAGGTGCGGAAGCGAGACGGAGAACCCCGTGGTCAAGCCAACTTCGAGGACTGGGACCACGACGGTCCCGAGGAGGTCGATGACAGCTTCTTTGAGGACTGGGATTGTGAGGACATCGCTCTTTATCAAGCCGCCCAAGACGATGAAGCTCGTGCCTGGGCCCAGATCCAACAAGGACGCCGGACACTCAGGGAGGCTCGCGAACGGCAAAAGGAGGTACGACTGGGCCGCAAGTTCTTCTCTGGAAAGGGGAAGGGAAAAGGTCCTTCTCGAAGCACCTCCTACAGGGCCAACCCAGTGTCAGGAGAGGGTCCTTGCCTCCGGTGCGGAAAGGCTCACTCAACCCGCAACTGCCCTAGCAGGTTCCAGCTGACGACAAAGGAGCACTGCAGGTGGATGCCGAGCCCGAGTTCATCTACCAGGCAGAGACCACGCTCTTTGGTGACAGCTGCAGCCTAGAGGCAGATGCGTTGACAGCCTGGGAAACTCACCACACAACAGGCCATGCGAGAAGGGTATGCAGTGATAGACCCAGGGGCCACGAAAACCATGGCCTCTATCACCGCTCTCGAGTGTGCCCGCGAAGTGAGCTGGAGAGACAACCAGAAGGACAACATCACCGGCATCAATGTGGATGAGAGGCCCACCTTTGGGTTTGCAGATTCCGAGACTGCACAGTGCCGACCCACGGTGCTCCTAAGCCTGCCTGTGGCGGAGCAGCGCATGAAGCTTAAGGTGCATGCCCTGGACAAGGGCTCGGTGCCACTCCTTCTGAGCATCCAGACAATGAAGAAGATGGGGGCCCTAATGGACTTTGGTAGGGTCATTTTTACCAATATAAACCCCCAAAAGTGCGTGAGCTTGCAGACCACCGCAACTGGTCATCAGATGTTGCCATTGACACGTGACTTTATGAAAGAGGCAAGAGACCTCAAAGCTCCAGTTTTCCGTCTGGGAGACCTAGTCTCCGAGTAGGGACGCAGACTCTGCTCAGCACCGCCTGAACCTGAGTGGGAGGCAGCCAGAAATGATTCAGGCAAACCAGCATCTTGTGAGTTCTGTAGGACCTGTGACAGAGACCTTCATCACCATGGGTTGCATGCTTCTTCCAGCACCTGTATGTAGCCATGACCATGAGCTCTCGAAAAGTAACATGTCCCCAGCTTCCTCTCAAGCCCCTGTAGGCACCAAGGTAGTTGTCCCCCCAGCGAGCAACGAAGGCGAGCACCCTCTACTTAGGTATGGCAGCAGCGTCGTCAGCAACCGCGACTCCCGAGGAGAAGATGGTCTCCGGAGTCAAGGCGCCGAGTGCCATGTCCAAAGCCGAGTGTGTGCGAGAGTTGACGCAATTCCATGTGGCCTTCACGGCGGACATGACAATTCCAGAACTTCGATCCTTGGTGAAGAAAAATCGCATCCAGGAGGGGCTGATGATCGACCGTCGAAGCCAGGACACATCACTCATGGGCCAGATCGAGAAAGCGAGCTTGCGCGACCTCCGGAAGATCGCAATCGACAATCAGGTTGGACACCCAGCCTCGATGGAGCACGGTGCCCTGCGCCTTCACATGAGGCAGTGGCTCCTTCGCAGCGGCAAGGACGAGACCCTCATGTCGTTGGGTCGTCACAAAGGAAAGCCTTTTGTGGACATCTGGCAGGTGGATGCGCAGTATGTTCAGTGGTGTGTGAGAGAGACAGCCTCACACACCCATGCAGGCTGGGGTTTGGTCCAGCTGGCAGCGTGGGGCATCCTGACGGGCAAGACCGAGGACCCCTTCGACGAGGAGATGGTCAAGACAAATGTGCAGGACAAGTCGCTTCCTCCCACGTGCTTGGCAGCGGTGATGATGCTTGACGACGACATGTTCAAAAGGAAAGCCGAGAGTTCCTCAGTTCCCACCTTGAACCTCACATCGGAGAAGAAGAAGGAAGTCAAGGGCTACCATCAAGAGAACAGCGACCTCCGACAGGAAGTGATGATGCTTCGCCAGGAGATTCGTGCCATGAAGGAAGCTCAAGCCAACACCAGCTCACCTCGCGACCGCAAGGCTGTGAGAGAGCAGGAGAAGCCATGAATAGTGCGTGCGTTCATGTGAACTCCCAGGATTCTTCGGTGGCTGAAGGGTCGAGGGTCGGTTGTGAATATAGCCCCAAAGTGTTGAGTCCTAGTGAAGGTCATAGGTTGGAGAAGGCTGGTGCTGATTTTGAGTTTGACATCTATAAGGCCCTTCGGGACCCCAGCCATGTTTTCCTCGCTGAAGTGGAAAGACAGGGTTTGCGTGCTCAACGTTGTAGCTGGTGGAATGGCTATGATCTAAGTACCAATGCTGGGCTGAAGAAGCTTCTTCGCATGCTGGAACATGAGAGACCTAGTCATGTTTGGTTCAGCACTGAGTGTACTGCGTTCAGCCCCCTCCAAAACATTAATGAACGTGATGAGGCCCAAGCCCGAAAGAGAGAGCAAGAACGTAAGGCTCAGCGTAAACAACACACTGCCGCTTTGATTGCTGCGTACTATGCCCACTCTCTGGGATGTGCTGTTCATTGGGAATGGTCGCGTAGGTGTCGAGCATGGCGCTGGGATGCCATGGATGAGTGGCGCAAAATCTGTGGGACTTGTCCGGCTATCATAGGAAGCTGTCAGGTTAATGTTAGGTGCCCCGAAAGTCGTAAGCTCCTTGGTAAAGAATGGCGCATTGAAAGCACCTCCCCCACCTTTGCCAAAAACATCCATTGTCCCTGCCCTTCTCAGGATTGCCGCAAGAACCATGTTACAAGCCTAGGTAAGACCTTAAGGGATACGGCCTTTTATAGCCCCGAATTCGCTAAAAGGGTTGTCCACCATATGCTGAGAGATGACCAGTTCATTGCCGGCAAGGCCGACATGGAAACCAGACAGAGAGAGCTCCAAGAGCTTCAGGACATCCGCTGGGATGAGTGCCAGTGCAAGCGATTTCAGGGTTCAGGGCCAGGGTTGTTGTGTCCGTGGTGTCTTCAGGATTCGGGTTCCTTTGTGGTTTGTGAAGGGACGGGGATGGGGATGTTAGAGTCGGGTTTGACCACTTCGGGGGTTGGTTCAGGGTCTAAGGACCGTCCTGAGTTCACCAAAGGTGAGCGAGAAAAAGTTATGAAACAACTTCATCATCTCCATCGTGCCACTGGTCATGGTAGTTATGAAAGTCTTGTGAAAAGCCTTGAACACAAGCGGGCTGACCCAAGAGTGTTGGCTATTGCCAGGGATTTTAAGTGCAGCACATGTGAAGAACGTAAACGGCCCACGCCGCGACGCCTTGCCAACTTGGAGGTGAACACTCAGAGGGTCCAGGTGGATGCTGCTTGGTGGGCTCCGCCTTCGGGGGATGACAGAAACAAATGCCAGTTCATTGTTTGGGTTGATGAGGCAAGCCGGTTTGCCGTGGGCCGGGTGTTTCGGAAGGATGGGGGGGGACATGTTACCGCCAAACAAATCATTTCCAGCTTTCATGAACTGTGGGAACCAACTTTTGGGGTTCCTGAACTCCTGCGCGCCGATCCCGATGGAGCATGCCGCTCACGGGAACTGGATTTGCATTTTCAAAGTTTGGGGGTAGAAACGGACAACATACCAGCTGACGCGCACTGGAAAGTGAGCATCGTGGAGAGATCCATCCAGCGGGTCAAGGAACTCATGTCCAAGGCCGCAGTTGACAGCCCTGAAGCGTCTCATGAGGCTCTCCTCTCCCAAGCGCTGCGCACTTGGAACCAACGAGAGCCTGTGCGAGGATACTCCCCTTTCCAATGGATGCTAGGTCGAGCCCCTGACAATGAAGATAGATGTTTACCCCCGATGTTCAGAAGCTCCCCGGTAGCTTACTCCACTCTCCTGAAAGTGCTTTTCACAGATCTGAAGCCTTCAGAAACCTCAGTGAGAAGGCCTTCGTCGACTGGCAATATCGTGAGAAGATCTCTAGGGCGAAAAACTCTAGGGTGAAGGATTTCAACACATATATGCCAGGCGATCTTGTCTTCTTTTGGAGGCGGCAAGGCAAGTCTCGGTCAGGCGACAACACCGGCATCCGGGCCCATGGACCATTTCCAAGTTGACCGAGGGCTTGGGGACCCACGACTTTGATGATGTGTCAGACCATGGACCACCTCCCGACGAGGCGGACCCTGAGGACATGGAGCTGGATAACATCTTGCCCCAGTCGGATGACGAAGAGCTCATACCAGATCGCCGGCACCCTTGAGAAGGATGCGCGGAAAGCGGCAGGGGGACGGCCATCCGGACCGTTCACTGCCCCAGCGACAGGGAGTTCCTCCTGATGTTCGTGGATCCACTTTGGCAGTGGATGAGTCAATCAGGAGTCTTCCCAGGGAAGAATCATGGCAGAGTGAAGTTCCGACCTCTTTCTGGGCCAGCGAGCCAAATCCCAAATGGGAGTCGGCACACCGCACCGTGGAGCTCGCTTTCACCTTGCCGGAGACCAAAAACAAGCTCCAGCAGTTCAGTCGCGATCCACTTCAGTTCTTCATCAAGTCCCTGCGTCGGAAGTCGGTGGAGATCTCAGAGCGTCGGATGACCGAGGATGAGAAAATCGGGTTCAAGCAAGCAAAACACGTGGAGGTAAAAAAGTACCTCACCGCCAAAGCACTGGAAGCGCTCCCTGCGAGCATGCGTCCTGACCGGTCGCAGGCACTCCGAATGAGGTGGATTCTGACATACAAAACAGATGAAACCACTGGCGAGAAAAAGCCGAAGGCAAGAGCGGTTTTGTTGGGGTACATGGACCCGGAGTACTCCAACAGGCCCACCTTTGCGCCGACTATGACGCGGACCAGCAGACAGTTACTACTACAGCTTTGTGCGTGGCAGGGAATGACTTGCTGGAAAGGCGACGTATCGGGGGCCTTTCTTCAGGGAAGGCCCTATGAGCGGGAGCTCCACGTCATACCGGTCCCAGAACTTTGTGAAGGACTGGGATTGCCGCCAGAGTCGGTGTGTCTTCTCCGAAAAGCCTGTTACGGGCTGGTAGAAGCCCCTATCGAGTGGTTTGAAACGGTGAACACCTTTCTGCACTCCATAGGTTACAGACAGCTTCGCAGTGACCCGTGCACTTGGATCTACACCCAGGACGACACCGTGATCTCGATCATCAGTGGCCATGTGGATGACTTTTTATTCACAGGGCGGCAGAACTGTCCCATCTGGTGTGACCTGCAGAAGAAGATCCAAGCTCAATTTGACTGGCAGGTGTGGGAGAAAGATAACTTCACACAGTGTGGAGTGTCCGTCTCTCGACGTGAAGATGGGTCGTTTGATCTCAGCCAGAAATCATATGTCGAGGGCATTCCAGAAATCACTATCTCCCGTGATCGCAGGAGGCAGAAGCACGAGCCAACCACGGAGGCCGAGAAGAGTCAGCTCAGAGGCTTGCTCGGGGCCCTCAGTTGGCACGTGGGACAAGTGGGCTACAAGTTCAGTGCTCACGTGAGCCTTGGCCTATCGGAAATACCGCAAAGCACAGTCATGCATCTTGAACAAGCTAACAAACTCCTTCAAGACGTTAGGAGGGATGCCCGGGTTCCCCTTAGGATCTTTGCCTTTTCCCCTAGTGAACAGTTGTGTCTTGTTTCGTGGACGGATGCTAGCTCCCAAAATCGTCATGATGGTAGCTCCACTGAAGGAATCATGATAGGAATGGCTCCACAGACCATTCTCAATGGAGAGGTGGTCAGTGTGTCTCCTATGTTTTGGAGATCAGGAAAAATCGATCGCATCTGTAGGTCTCCTGGAAGTGCAGAGGCCAGGGCAGCTATCGATGCAGAGGACAACTTGTATCTTCTACGATACGCTTGGGCGGAGTTCAATGGCCACCAGGTGGATGCTTGGCACCCCGAAGAACTTGTTAGCAAAGTTACTGGGGTTCTGGTTACGGATTCCCGAAATGTTTACGACAGGGTTGAAAAGCCGTATATCACCCGCAAGGGCGCCAGTAAGAAGGTTGACATTGAACTCATGGCTATTAAAGAGGCTCAACAACATACCGGGCTCCATGTTCGCTGGGTACATTCCGATGCCCAACTAGCAAACACCCTCACCAAGCGAGGCGAGGAACATCAGGTGTCTCGTTTTGTTTCCCTTGGGCAAAAATGGAGAATCGTTGAGGACCCCAACATGTTCTCTGGGAAGAAACGTAGGACTCAGGGACTCGATCCTCTCACAAATGCTGGTGAAGCCTGAGGGCTGTGTGTTGTTCGTGTGGGTCTGCGGACTCCCACTCAGGAGGGCATGCAAGAGTTGAAAACTCTCATGTCCATGCAGCTGTGCACAGAAGTGATGTCTGGGCACTGCGCAGGCATTCCGGCCCTGAGGTGCCATAGATAGACCTGTCCCTTCTCACCCGAGCCCGATTCAGGAGCATCGAGCCAGTGGAAAAGAAGGGCGAGCACTACTTTGGACATCGAGCTGCCAGGCAGGACGGGACGTCTTGCACCCCTGAACCCCCAAAACCCCTAAATCCCTAAAACCTGAACCCTAAACCCCAAACCCTAAAACCTAAACCCTAAAACCCCAAACCCAAAACCCTATTGTATCGGGTTCAGGTCGGGAGTTTTGACCGAAGTTTCTGCGAGTGCCTTGGCTTGTTTTTCACTTTACAAGTTGCATTTAGCTATAGTCCCCCTTAAGTCGATAGAACATGTGTATATTAGGATCTTGTTACAATATACCCAAAGCCATATTCCATCTACTTAAGGGGAACTATACTCTTGAGAGTTCAGTGTTTGGCCCATCAGAAAAGTCCGAAGGCGCGATCTCGAGTCTACGTCGTGAAGAAGACTGCAGCATCACCAGTATTACGGTCCCAGATTCATTTTGATATTGGGTACCCAGAATACCAGAAACAGGCCTCGCAATGAGATTTGAGTTTTTTTTTACGCCCCTTTGTACCACGATCCATGGACCCGAAATTCTGCACTCCAGGACACGCTAGTAGTCGCATGGACGACATCATGGAAACCTTCGTCCACCTGCTGCCTCAGCAAAAGCTTCTCAGTTTGGACATTGTTTTGTTTGCTGGCGCTCTAAAAGAGGGGGGGGTTGGGAAGTGGAAATGAGCACTATCGAAGGACTGCACAAAGAGCATTAGAGGTAAATTTGTATGGACTAATTACGCGCAGAGCCCTTTGTGATCCCCTCATCCTAGTCATATGCAACAGTGTAACAAGCAGCACTATGCTAGAGCAGATAGTAATGAGAATGTCTATCATCTATGGGGTGGCGTGTGATGAGGGAATCAACTGCCATGGCATCCGACACTTCAATTCCTGGTATGAGCCCTCCTGAAACATGTGCTGCAAGAACTTTTTAAAATTGAAATAGGGCTCTGTACTACGAGGATACTAGGGCCTTCTAAAAAAAGCAGCAAAAACGCAATGCTCCGGGAAATAACGACAATCTCGCCACTCAGGCCCGGTACGGCTTGAGTGACCCTTGCTGGCTCATGTACTCCAATCGCACATGTTCGGCAAGGAAGTTCAGATCAATAGAAAGATGCCGGGAAAATCCAAGAGTAGACGACTCCACTTGCTGGTTGCAAGCACGAAATGAAGGAACCATACTTATAAGGGGCTGTATAGCGGCTACCGCTATGGTAAGGACCCATACTTAGATGTGGAGGGGGACGTACTAAGTAGGTTAACAAAGAGCGTAATGAGGCTTTCAGCCGGCTTATAGGCTTTGAGCATACGGGCGGTCTGTATGCCTAAGCCCTTAGCCCTAAACGTTAATCCTAAACCCTAAGCCCTCTAGGTACCACTATGGGCTATTAGACCCTAAAATTCCCTATTAGGACCCTATTACGGGTAGATTAAGGTACCCTCAAGGTCTAATNNTCTAATAGCCCATAGTGGTAGGGAGCGAAGACTGCCCAAACCCAAAAGCAATCTTCCGGCCAAAGAGCGAAAGCATGCTTCAGATTCAAGCTACTGGTGATACTAAGAAGATGCATGACCTTAGTATCCCTAACCCAAATAATAGGGTTTTAGGACCCAAATACCATTAATAGTATAGTGTTTGGACCCTAAAACCCTATTATTTGGGTCCTTGGACCCTTAGGTATCCTATAGCACCATCATTCCCAAAGTATTTAGTACTTCCTCCTTCCTGCAGCCTTCTACCCCTGAACTAGGGTAGGTTTGGAGGCACAGTAAAAAATCTGTTTTTATAACGGCCATGTAGGGCTTAAAGGTAATAAAGCAACGAATACGTATTGTCAAACCTACAGGCGAAAACTCTACCCCAAATCCTCCAAAACCCGAAACCCCTAAACCCTAAATCCTAAACCCCAAATCCTTCGGCACTTGCTTGTTTCCTTGCCAGTGTTGCTTCGTCATGCTCGGCTCAAGCAGTCCCACTTGAGTAGCGTTTGTTGTTGGGGTGGTTGAGCTCAGTAACCCTAAGGGTCCAAGGAGTCCAAGGCCCCAAATAATCAGGCAAAGACCACTCAGTTTGTCTTGGGTCGGGAATTACTTGGAGGGTAAGGATAACTTGGCAGGTATATATGCAGACAACCCTTCTAAGCCCATGAGCCATATCATAACCGAAGCTATCCCCACTGCTGCACCCCCCAAGCGGGGTTCAACGTCTATGCTTTTCTGAAGGCGGGAACAGCAGCCAGACATGAGCTGTAGTCTAAACTCCTAGTATCCCCCTTAATAACCCCTATAATACTCCCTTCCATAATCCCCCATATACCCCCCCTTTATGGAGTTTAGACTATAGTACACATGTTGTCTCTTCCCGAGAACACTGAATAGTAGTGGTGGGAGGGGTTGAATCGAAGTGCGCAGGATGACCCATGGATGCGATAGTTCCCCCCTGGAATAGATAGAATAAGGCTTTGGGTATATTACAATAAGATCCCCATAAGCCCTATATGCTATTTATCTACTTACGGGGGACTGTAGCCCGACACTACGCATTATGAATACGCAAGCTATCATACCTTGGGAAATTTGGGGGTTTCCCAAAATTAGGCCAAAATTAGGGGTATACTTGCGGGGGTCCCAATAAGAAGGACTATAGTATATTCGGGTCTATGTTGGGGGTCCTTCAGTTTGAGACAGTACCATATATCAATTACTTAGGTGGTGCAGCTACCTATGAGGACTTCGTTCCGTATCATCTCGACAGAGCTAGGCCATGTCTGAGGTAACGTAAATAAAAGGCATGGCCCCTAAAAGCATAAAGCCCTAACCAGTTTAGGGTTTAGGGTTTAGTGTTTAGGGTTTGGAGCCCTAAACACTAAACCCCAACCCCTAAACCCTAAACCCCCTAAACCCTAAACCCTAAATCCCCTAAACCCTCAACCCCCTCAACCCAAAACCCCAACCCCTAAGCCGTAATGTGGACTGAGAGGTTGACGCAAAGTAACCCTTCTTTTGCTGTGAAGGGTAAGCCGTGTAATTATTAGGGTTTAGGGTTTAGGGTTTTTTCTGGTTTATAGGGTTTAGGGCTTAGGGATCTTGAACCCTAGACATCCCTGTGTATCTGTCTATACCCCCTCTAAATGCCCTTCGCATCCCAAATTCTACAACTGTGTATCCTACTAATGGAGGAAACCGCGCCAGCGCGGGCCTTCATTAAGCGCAGTAATTCCTGAGAGTTATGGGATTCAGGGCGGTGCCAAACTTCCTTCACTCCAAACACACCCTAGAAAGCCAGTTACCCATAATTACAGGCAGCTTTCCCCTAATTTCCTAGTACTTTGGGTTATAGTAGCCCATTATTATGGGTAACTAGGCTTTCTGGGTCAACCCTATGTCCACCCTAGTTTGGAAGATCAGGGTTCAAGTTGCTCCGGTGCGATGGAGGCCTGTTTTTCATCCTGGCGCAGGTAGCTGGGTAGCAGACTGGACTACTTAGGAACATGGCTTGGGGCCTAGGGTTCTACGTGGCACTTAGGACCCCTACTAAGGGTGGTAATGGTAAGATTTTAAGGGAATCCCCAAAGGGTTAAGAGTCTAAGGTCCAAGCTAAGTCCCAAACAAAGTAGCAGACTGGATACTTAGGAACATGGCTTGGGGATTAGGGTTTAGGGTTAGGGTTTAGGGTTTAGGGTTCAGGGTTTAGGGCCTAGGGTTTAGGGTTTAGGGCCTAGGGTTTAGGGCTTAGGGTTTACGGCTTAGGGTTTAGGGTATGTAAGATGTAGCATGTAGGGTCCAGGATTTGAAGTCTAGGGCTTCGCGTCTAGGATATTATGGCATCATACCCTTGGAGTCCAAAGGCCCTGAGAAGGCTTGGCCAACAATAGGGGGATTTCCCAAAATTATGGGTACCCTTTTGGGGTCCCCATAATAAGGACTATAGTATTTTGGGGTCTATATTGGGGTCCCCTATTTTGGGAAACTACCATATGGGGCGGTATATGTCTAGGGTAGAGATCTTGCGAAATAAAAAGCTAGGAATACTGTTCTTTGCAATTGTGATTGGTATGAATCACATAGGGGTGTTTAGGATTTAGAATAGAAGCCTGCAAAACGCCTTCTGCCTTCACCAACACGGTCTCGAACATCTACACAGCGTAGAGCTAGAGCTAGAGCTAGAGCAGCAGCAGCAGCAGCAGCAGCAGCAGCAGCAGCAGCAGTAGCAGGAGGAGGAGGAGGAGGAAAAGGAGGATAGTAGTAACAAGAATAGCAATAGTAATAGAAATGTTGATGCTAATAGTAATAACAACAATAGCAAGACTAACACAACAGAAATAATGGAAATACAAAGTAACACTACGTTAGAGGGTGTACCTGCGCCCCTGCGTGTTCCTGTTGATGGAGGAAATCTTGCACCACCTTAGGTCCCTAAAGTCCTAGGAATTACAGTAATTAAGGGCCCCTAAGTGGTGCAAGATCTTATCCATCAACTTACATGCCGCTCTTCCCAACCCTCAACCCCACCTAGACAGCCTGGTTCCCCCCCCAAAATGGGCTACTTGAATCTAATGTAATAGGAAATTGGGGAAAGTAGACTATAATCATGGCGCGTGTCCCTAAACCCTAAACATTGAATCCCTAAACCTCAAACCCTAAACCCTGTAACTAGAGGTTACTGGCTTTCTGGGTAGGTTCCAAACCCAAATCCGTGTTTGGATGTTGAGCTTTGCCTGCGGCCGCCCGCTGACGTCCATAGTGCCGTCATTCTTGAAGCAACCAGTCTGCAGCAAATTAGGGTTTAGGATTGAAGGTTTAGGGAATTGGACGAGAAAATGGAGCCTCTGTGGGATTACTCTGAACCAGGTAGGGTTCAAGGGTTATCTGGAATCCTTCAAGGCTAGAAAAAGGGTTTAAAGTCCCCCTTTAGACTCTGAACCCTTAAACCC